GTCCAGCTCACTGCCTAGTTCCGATTCAGAGCGGGCACGAACGTCTGGGTCTACCAATCCAATTTGCTGATTTTTCCTGCAGTCAGTGAGTCAGAGAGTGAACTGCATCGAAACTGATGCGTGATCAGATTCAACGCAGATGGTCCCACAAGACCTGCAGTTCGATAAGCACATTAGCATTTGGGAATGATTCAGCGTAGGAATTTGTTCTCATGTCGAATACAAAGTAGTACGCTTCATCAATTAAGACATGTATTGCGCATGCCCAGCTGTGAGAAGCAGAGCCGTCACTTCATTAGTTGCTTCATTTCAATCAGAAATTCAGCTTTATTTTAGTGGACCGTTGATTAATCTAACACTGTATCTCGTTAAAAGGTGATTCGGAAAAGTTTGATCCTCTTCAGTTTATCATGTATGAAAAACCGAAACTGGGTTTGATCCTTGCATTTTTCTTCGCCACAAAAGGCGGTTTCGGTCTGTGTTGTCCTCTCCTTTTGTCTCTCAAGTTGTGAAAGTTGTTTCGGAATTAAACCGAAAGTTACTGGTGACATCGGTCGGCTAGCGCTCGCAAGTAGTCCGTTTTGAAGTATGCAGTCGTCATTGCGTTGCTTGGTGAAGATCCCGGGGACTTTCTAGCTCTTTTGGGTGGTTCGAGCGTTAGTCTAACCACATTTGGTTTGCGCCGGGATGTTTTCACGGTGTGCTATTCCACTCTGATATTGGGATTACCCAGGTCTCAGTAACGTTCACACCAGGATGGTCAAGGGGTTGCATTGCCTCACCTATGAGGAGAGATTACGATCATTGGGAATATGTTCTGCTCAGTACCGTTGAATTCGAGGAGACTTGACTTTGACGTATCAAATACTGCAGAACCCAAACCATCCAGTCGGCCGCTGCTCATGTTATCGAACAATGTACACCTTAGGGCACACCGTTTCAAGTTACTGATTCCAAAGTATCGACTGGGATGCTGGCGCCAATCTTTTGCAGTCAGAGTATGCAGTACTTGGAACACCCTTCCATCTCACGTCGTTTGTGCACCAACCATGGAATCTTTCAAGTGGAGATTCGATGAAACCCTGGTACACCTCACATTCCTACAGTACTAAAAAAACAAACGCAAATTCTTTGAAGACCACATTATCTGTTATCTCCTACCTGGAACTCTATGTGATTTTTTTCACCGATCAATGATTCAGTTGGGTAAATATCCCATGGGGGCAAGAGAAGCATGAGCTTGTAAGTAATTCCCATAATAAAACCTTGACTTTGGCTATAAAGAAGGTTCTCATTATGGTGCCTTTCTTTCTGTTGCTTGTACAATTAACCATTCCTGTTCCAGGAAGTCAGTCGCCGTTGTCCTCAACCAAGCCGCTGGGGCTCTGCCTATTTTACCGTTCAGCATAACGGTATAAACATGCCGCAGTGTTTTACTGCAAACTTTGACGCCGGATAATCGATAGATCTTGTGCTTGCTTATTCTAGAAAGATGCGATTTCTACCAATGTTACTTTCTGTCATGTGTTTTTCTGCAAAGTACACTCAATATTCATGCGGCGTGAATTATCTTCTTCAGCTTTTCAAAATGATTTCCTGATTTTATTCTCTTTCTGCAGCACAATTTAAATCAAGAGATGGTGTTACGCCTTCTGCTAGCCGACCCTATTCAGAGCCAGTCAAACTCTTCGTTGGAAAATCTTTTGGACATGTATCACGATCTGGCTTCTGAAGCACATCGCCACGCCTGTACATCCGCTCAACTTGCGCGTCAAGCCATTGTTGAGGCGAAAGCTAACGACAGGACCCATTCTCGGCATTATCTTGTACGTCAGATGCTCCCAATCGTCCCGGTAGCAAACTATTTACATCGGTTGCGCACTTGGGCACACTTCGATCCCCGTCGCATAGACTCTTATATAGACGGGCTTCTTCCAGTAAAATTATCTTGGTATGCCTGGTGCAACAAACTGCCACCCGAACCAAAAGCGTAGAATTGAACATGTTTGCCCACCCCTATGATCGCTGCATTTTTAAAAATTGTCTTTGAATCAAATAAACACTTACAATTTAGAGTATCTTTCACTCTCGTTTCTTCGATGTGATGTGGGTGAACAGGGTTATCTAGAATCCTGTTGGCGAATTTGATACGAGTTGATGTGACCTTTTAGAAGTCCTGTGATCAAGTTGAGTCAAGAAATGCTTTATGCACCCAAAGGACGAATTTTTAGAAATTTACGATTTTACAGTGGATATATAAAACAAATGCAAATAAAAAAGATAATACAACAAATTCTGCACTTTAGTAAATGAAGGGAAAAAATAGTGTAGGAGTTTCCCTGAGGTGGGTGAGAATAGTCTTACGAATAAGCAATAACCGAGCAAGATAGGGAATTGCACTATTTCTATATGTACAAGTACGCGCAGGATGGAGTTGATATTTGGGACGAGTTCGGGGATTCGACAGGGCTTTTGCGATATCCTGGTGTAGACAGTTCCCTTGATCACGTGTTATCTTGTTAATGAAGGTATCACAAGCGTCAAGATGTTTGGAAGTGAAGAAATCAACTAAACAACTCTATCAACTCCACTATAGCGGGACAAAAGTTTAAGGGATGTGGAAAATAAAGTGAAGTATTTTTCTATCAGTCCAGGGATAAAAGTCCGGGAGCCGTATAGCCAGTGTAGAAGAATGTAGGCAATCACAAATTGAAGAATAAGAGTATGACCAGCTTCCTGGGCCTGTAAGCATAAAAGACACTTCGAACTTTTCTGAAAACACTGATGATATGAACAGACCGGGACAAGTCATGGGTTAGGGTGACATCAAGGTATTTAACAGATACACCTTTGAGAATGCGTTGATTGTAAACTCTAAGATCTGGGAGGTAACGGGGACCAGTTTTAAAACTAAGTGGAACTTCAATATACTTATTGATTTTAAGAACAAGAGATCGGGTCACAGATCAATTGTGAAGTTCATTAAGACTGTCCTGGAGAGGTTGAAAACTGTCTGAAATAGGGGATGGGCAACCAATCACAATATCATCAGCATACTTGCGAGTAATAAAGTTGCCGGGAGTGAGGAGATTTTGTACATATATAGAAAAGAAGAAAGGGGACAGAATAGCACCCTGAAAAACACCGGTTTCAATGTTAACAGAGGACGAATGTGCCCCATTCAGTGAATTAAACTGGGTTCCACGGGAGAAGTCGATTGGTACATTCAAGGCTTCAGGTGTAAGATCACACCGAAATCAAAGGTGCACGATTGGTAATCACCGAACCACGTCGGATGATCTTGAGGTTTGGTTTTCCGAGACCGAGGGACATTACAAGGAAGCAATAGAATTGAACACAGCCATATTTTTCAATCGAACAGTTTTACTAGGTTTGTGTGGCCCTTAGTTTTTGGAATAAAAACGGATAATTTCCCCGCGAAGTGACCGTCCTGATTGCGTGCGGCCTCCACAACGTTAGGAGATGCTTATATTTCGACTCCCGAGTACATTGTTGGATGCATCCGCTTACAAGGTTTGTGAATCATTGTGACCGTATTCAGCCAGTTGATCTACGACCGAAAACAACGTTTGCTATGTGCTCGTTTTCGAGGATGATATGCATACATCTATTGGGGAAAATACGCAGCGATAAATGTTACATCTCTGTGACAAATAAGAGTTTCTTGATTCAAACAAGGATGCACCTATCCTACCAGGACACGTACAGGACATACCTCAACTTAAGATCCTGTGATACACCCGGTACAAACCTATCATCTTTTGTAGAATCATAGATAACTTTTGTCTCTACCATTCACCTCATTCACCTGCTTGTTCCGAGTAATCCCTTTTGTTTCAGTCTCCAGACTACCGCACGTCAGTTCATTTGGGTTTAAACTACCATTAAGCATGCATTTCCGTGCTACGCTTTTGGTTGCCCGTTTGAGTGAGCAATGGGAGGAAAACAGTAAGGTTGGAAGTAGGATCGAAGGGAAAATTGAAAAGTTCAGGGGACTAATGATACAGAGAAACCGAGAAGATGCAAAAACGCCACCGTTTACGACACCCAGCCACATTACTGTGTCTCTAACCATTGGTTGCGACCATCCCGAGGTCCCCAGCTAGGGAGCCTAACGGGACCTATGTGACCTAATCTCCTGGTTAGGGTTTTCATACCCTCATGTCAGGTCTTAGCTTGACCACCTTGGGCTTTCTTCCACCCACTACCTGCCTCGGCGAACATCGCTCGCCGTGGCAGCCTATTTGGAAACATGCGTAACGCATGTCCCAACCAACGTACTCTATGGGGGTCGACCACTTGCTCCAGTGGGCGACCGCGGATACCCAAAACTTTTCGCCTGACAGTATTGCTCGTCCGGCTGTCCCACCAGATTCGTGCAATGCTGCGTAAACAGTGATGTTCAAACACCGACAGTCTATCTTTGTCCTATTTTCTTAATGGCCAAGTTTCTGCTCCATATAGCTGAACTGGCCGAACTACTGCAGCGTACACTCGACCCTTCACAGACAGCCGGATGTCGCGACGGCGCCACAGATGTCTCAGATTGGCAAATGCCAACTGCGAGCTGACACGTCATCCATGATGCGTCCACCGGGTGAGATGTAGCTCCCCAAATAACAAAACTTATCCACCTGCTCTATTACTTCTCCAGTAAGAGTGAGACTGGGTGCTGGATCAACCCAGTCTTGTAGTAGCATTTTACACTTTGAAGGTGCGAAACGCATACCAAACATGGACACACTAGCACTCAAACTATCCAGAAAAGCTTGTAACTTACCTGGATCTTCACTTAGTAGCACAATGACGTCTGCGTACTCTAGATCAGACAGTCTGCCACCTGGGAGTAAATCGATGCCACTATCCTCGCACGAGGATAGGGCTGTTTCCATAATCAGATCAATAACAAAGTTAAATAGAAATGGAGAGAGAAGGCAACTTTGTCGAACACCACTTTCCGTGGTGAACTCGGGTGAAAAGTGCCGTAAGCTCGGACTCGGCTTCGGCTATGAGTATGGAGGGATCGTAATATTGAAATTAACTTCTGAGACACACCCTTCAGAGAAAGGCAGCGCCAGAGTTTAGAGCGGTCCACTGAGTCGAAAGCCGCTTTCGGGTCGAGGAAGATGGAACTGGTGGGTCTACGGAAAGAATTTTGATGTTCCAGAGTTTGGCGAACAGTGAATATGTGGTCGATACAACCTCAACCAGGTCTGAAACCAGCCTGGTTCTCACGCGTGCCTTCTTCACGTGTGGCAGACAATCGATGGAGTATGATATCAGGGAGAAGTTTAGAAACAATGTTGATCAAACTAATCCGTCTATGGTTTTCACAAAAGAACCTGTCACCTTTCTTGTAAATCGGTATGATGACCGATTCACACCATTCAGCTGGAACCTGTTCTCTCTCCCACGCTGAACCCAGGAGTTGCGTTAACTCCCAAACCAAGGTTAAACCTCCATCCTTAAAAAAAGGATGGGGACAGCCCGTCTGGATCGGAGGCCTTATGCCTTTTGAGATAGCTTATTTCCCGGTAAACCTCCATTTCAGATGGAGGACTGGCATCGACTGGCAGAATTTGCACAGTCGCAGTGGAGAGTGACAGTTCATATGTCGATGGGGGTCAGTTTCAGTGGTTCTAGCTAAGGTAGCTTGTTGACCGATCTGATAGAGTGTGCAGACATTAAACGCGGCTAAGTGAAAAGGGAATTTCGGCTTCGAAAATCCTGCAACCTCTGATTGTTTGGACTTGTTTTTAAAACGCTGAGTGATATCCGATGAGTCTTGTAAACAACGGGCGTTTGGGATTATTCGGGATTGAGAGGAAAAACTAAACAGTTGTGGAGGAGGGCTTTCCAAAAGGGTGTCTAAGACTTTAGGGCACGACATACTTCGCGGTAGCTCACGTCGACGAAGGGTTTTTCTTTGGAACTCTAACTGGAGCCTCCGACTCAAAAGTCTGACCCGCAAGACAGTGGGGCGTAAATCGAATGCGGAAGCGTGAACGAAGCACCCGTGTGGGAGCTTCTGGAGACCAGTCACGGAAGACCTTTGAATTTCGATTAATTGTGTGGTTCGCTGGTGCATTGATTATCGGTCCGCTTTTCCAGATCGGCCCTTAGCCTTATGCACCCAATGAGACAAGCGGAAAGTGGATGTGACAGCACTTTATTGGCTGGGGGCTGCCCAGCTTGGACGGGCGGTAGCTGCCCAGTGAACAGCGAAGACGTCTCCCACCGTCCAGAGGAAACCGCGAATATCCCGTTCTTACATCCATCGAGGGTTTTTTGACCGATCAACTGCTCCTCACCGTGTTTGTTTGCTGGAGTGACCTCTCCAGGGGCGGGTGTGGATAGTAGAAGGAAGCCAAGAGGTGCCCAAGCAGCTGGCCTTATGAGACTGATCTTCGTCTGGTCTCCACCATTTTACCTTTCAGGCATGATTGAATCTGCGGCTGTGAGGAGCCATCCTGTGTAGCTCGCAGGGTCATGGAGGCACGCAAGCCATCACACCACGTCAAGATGCAGTCTCGTTGTGACGGGCTACCGCACGTGGCGTTCAACAAGACTGCCCTATATCCCCAATCCTTTTTAACCTTATCGTAGACGACGTTCTACAGAATGCTTTATCCATTCTAGCAAGCGGTGGAGTCGAACTGCTCCCAGGGAGCAGAGTTGTTGACTTAGAATATGCCGAGGACATCGCCTTGCGGGGTGACAACATACATGCAGTTCAAGTCGCTTTAAACCTCTTGGCAATCGATGTATCCAGGTATGGCGTGCTTTGCGCCGTCCAAATGCAAAGTGCTTGTTCAAGAATGGCGGGACCCTGTGCCTGCAATCACCCTCTGTGGTGATCAGCTGGAAGTGGTTGAGTCTTAAGTACCTCGGGAGCTTGATCGCAACTGGTGTCGGGGTTGGGGAAGAGATCACATCACGAATAGCGAAAGCTAGAGCAGCTTTGGGCAACCTG